GTATGTTGGAAATACTAGGCACTTAAGGCTCAGTGATACAGGGAGAATTTTGTTTCTCTTTTCTCCAGCTATATTTACTATCTACCAGGTGTGACTGTTCTTTCTTCTGATGGCAATTAATCAACTTAATACCTCAGAAAAGTCTTATTTGTCACCCTGCACACACAGACCTCTATCAGAGGTCTGGAATGCTGGTGAGTGGGTTGGTACTTTAAAGTCTATCACAAAAATTAATTTTAATTGCTTTGCACCCTGGTTACATGATCTCCCAACTTCTTGATAGTGGTATAACTCTGTAAAGAAACATTAAGAAAAGAGAAAAACCAACTCTGATATGACCTCTTAAAAAACAAGTGTGAAATAAATTTTAAACATTCTATAAGCAAAGGTATGATATTCAAAACAAAGGAAAGATGTTGTTTTTGGTGCTGCCTCTGTTCTCCCCAGGAATGTCACTGCCTTCAATTCTTCCTCAGTAGACACTTTCTGCTCTTATAAATCACCTTCAGATTTACCTAATGATCAAAACTCTTTGCCACCTGATCGCCCCCTTAACTCTAATATTCCAGTGAGTAACGTTTGTAATGGTTCTTTTTAATCTCTCTGGTATGAAAGTACATGTGTGAAACATGTGTGCACTCAAAGAGAGACTTTTTTCTTCTTTTCATTCCTGTGTGCTTTAGTTAGACGAGGAAATGTTTCAGAAATGAAGATCCAGCAAGAAACACGAGAAACCGCTGATATTACTTGAGGTGAGCTATGGTTGAGGAGAACACAGAGGATGGCATGAAGCGGACAGTCTTTCTTTCCAAGTAGAGCCACTTCCCCTGAAAAACCTATTTAAGTAATACAAACAATAATTAATACTTTTATTTAATTTCCCTTAAATAAATGAGGTAAATTTAGAAGCTATACGTATACCAACAAATTTTTAAAAACATTAAAATTAAGATTTTAAAAATTCCAAAATAACTTCCCCAAAAAATTCCAAAATAAGAATTCCAAAATCCTTAGCAATAACTTATGCTTTCAATGTATCAGGAAACATAAGAGAAAAGGAAAATAAGACATTGTACTAATGTAATCCAGATCATGAACTACATAGCACCCCACAAACTGGAAGAAAATGACATTGTCAAGATAATCAGTTCATTTTTCTAGTCAGTAATTAATACTTTTCAGTAGGAACTGACCAAATCCATAGGCTCCTCTTTATTTTATCAAGTGTCCTCAACTGTTATCTATTTTAGATTATCTATTGCCTCATCCAATGCTTGCCAATCTTTCAAAAAGACTAAAATAAGTAGCCCTGGCTGGTAGTTTGCTTAGAAAAGAATATTTCTATGGTCACTTAAAGCCAACATTCTCAAAACTTCTTTGTAAAACCTGTCAGTCCTGCCATGAGAGCCTCTGGGCTCTACAGTGAATACAATTTTCCTTTTGTAAGTGCCAGTTTCACTGCCCCAGTCTCTGTGATAAGTGTTTCAGCATTTCACTAGGGAAATTAGTACTGCCTGCTGACCAACACCTTCTATTTAGCGTACTGCTTCATCAAGTGCCAACATGCACGTCTGTCTCCTTGACTGGATTGCCGAGACTCATCATGCTCATAAATTTCCAGACATTTTTCTTACATGGAGTAAGGTGTTATGTAGATACATTTTTATGACCTTTAAATATAATTATACAGCATTAATTAGAGGGTAAGAAAAAAATTGCAATGCTTCCCATTTCTTTGAAATTATGTAAACAGAAGGCTTCTGGGTATGACACTCCAACTAAAATTTAGGGATGTGCCAACACTGAAATATGTATATCCACTTTAATCGAGTAAATAAATATTGAGTTCCATTTATCTTTTACCACAGTGCCAAGTAGCATCTTAATAAAATTTAAATTGATTTCATTTATTGAATTCTATAATTTTAAAAGACAATCTACCATGAGTCAATTTGAGCTTCACTTATATTGCTTGCATCAAATAAGTTTAAATCTATAAATGTATAATGATACTAAACAAACAAATTCCATCATTGGTCACCTTTGGAGAATATTAGGGAACGAACTTAGTAAATAAAGAATCAAACATTTATTCTGTCTTTTCATCGTGACATGCAGTTCAGGACAACCATGGTTGATGAAAGCAAGTTCTATTTATAGAACTGACTGAACAAATAAATGAAAAGGTAATGACAATTAATATAACACCACTTGGCAATCCTTAAATTAATTAAGGGATTTAAGTAAAGATCAATGACTTCAAGCACTTCAAAAGGAGAAACAACTGGACATTATGTACCTCCTGACAGAATTATACACCGTCATATACTACTATGCTGTCCTTTGAACTTGAATCAGATCAAACCTCTAGATCTATTGGTCAATTTACAGAAAATACAAGAAATACAGAAAAGACAGGGGAATATATTGAATGACAGCATGAGGTGCAATTGGCAAAATTCATACTGTGGAAAATATAGAACAACTCAGTTTCTTGCATAAATAAATTGCAAGGAAAAGAGTTGGATAAATTCGGACCTAACATTACATCGTATTTTTAGACAATATTTTTATGATTTGCATTCCAGTGAACTTTTCCATCAGTCCATTAAAAATTAAGATAAAGTTATAATCTACTTTTAAAATTTTTAATGTTGTTTTTCTTTCCTAGGGTAATAACAATAAAATTCTCAAGCTAGAAAGCACCCTCTTTTTCCATTGAGGGAAGAGAAAAAGCAAGCATGTAAAATTCTGTACATCCTCAGGTAAGGACAGCCCATTTTCCCCTTCTTACCCTAGAGTCCTGGAAGAGTTTGCTGGGCAGCTCTAATAAAATACTACATACTGGGTGGCTTAAACAACAGTTTTCCCACAGGTCTGGAGCCAGAAGTCCAAATTCAAGGTGCTGACAGTTTGATGTCTTCTGAGGCCTCCCTCCTAAGGCTTGTGGGTGGCCACCTTTTTGCTGTGTCCTCGCATAGTCTTTTCTCTATGTGCGTGTGCCCCTGGTGTTTCTGTATGTCCTTTTCTCTCTCTCTCTCTCTCTCTCTCTCTCTCTCTCTCTCTCTCTCTCTCTTTCTTTCAAGGACAGCAGTCAGATTGGATTAGTGCTCATCCTAACAGCCTTATTTTAACTTAATCAGCTCTTCAAAAGCCTTATCTCCCAATGCAGTCACATTCTAAGGTACTGGGGTGGGATTGGGGGAGTGTTAAGGCTTCAATGTGGACTTAGCGGGGACATAATTTTCAGCCTATAACAAGTCTATTCAGAATCTCACTATATTTATTTGTAACATCAATGTTATATGCTTAAAAGGTTTGAAATTTTAAAAGTCAACCTTGGCTCAAAAGTTAAACCCTTGAAGTTCATTAAATTAATTACACAAGCTATACTTTGCAAACAGTGTCTATCTACCATTCCTACTCACACCTTGACTATCAGTCTCTTATTCTAGAGCTGTGCTCTCCAAGATGGCAGCCACTAGTGAACAATGAGCGCTTGAAATGTGATTGGTCCAAACTGAGATTTAAGTATAAAATACACTGGATCTAAAAACTTGGTAAGAAAAAGTAGAATATCACAGTAATATTCACGTTGGTTATACATTTAAGTATTTCGGATACAGATTGTTATTTTAAAAAATGTGATTACTAAAAAAAAGTTTGAAAATTATGTGTCTTGCATCTATTTCTGTCGGATGGTGCGTTCCAAATTTCATCTGTCAAAGACTTGCTTTGAGGGCTTTCTTAGTTCCAATTTATAACTCTCCTTGAGAATTCCTTCCCTCTTCTTGTCCCCCCTCCCTCACCAATTACCTAGGTACAGAATTCTAGCACTCTATCCAGTCCTTAATTCACATGTCAAATCTAAGGGACACTTGCTAACTTGCTAGGAAGACAATCTTTGAGATTTGCTATATTTACTGAAATCGTAAGTGATGGGTAGTCCTGTTGCCTTTCACCTTTCCCCAAACACGAGAGCTGTAATAGCAGCAACTGACAGTCTTTTCTCACTTACTAGTACTAAAAAGGCTTATGCTCTAATTTAATCAAAGCACCAGAAGTGTGATTATAAGGATCTCTAGAATTTTGTAATAATTATTTTATATACTTGCAGCTGCTAAATCTTATGAGGGTGGATATTTTTGTTTTGTCTTAAAAGTTCATGTTGAGAACTGTAGTCAATATCTCGGGATCAGAAATTCAGTAACCTAAAATATGGTTAACATTCACACCTTTTAAAAAATATTTTCCATTTTAAAAATAGCATTGCTGGGTGTAATTTAAAGGAGTGCTCAAACGTCAATCCCCAGCAGGGACGGGAACATTTCAGATTGAAAGCCTTGTAAGATCCCTGTGAGCTACACCCTGCTTTAAGCACTTTCATGTAGATGAGAAGTGGAGAGGAAAGTGCTCAATTTGCAGAGTGAATAATTAAAGGAAAGATAAGAGCTAGCAGCCCTGTTACTTAACCACTTTTTTTAAATTTAATTTTCAAAAGCTAACTATGTTAACTATATCCCACTGCCAGTTGGATGAACTGAAAATGTATGAATGCCAGAAGCACCCTTCTCCCAAATCCCTAACCTTAATTGAAACTTATGTTTATATTCGAGAGGGAAAAATATAAACAAGTTGTATTGTTTCTCAAATATATTAAGTACCATTGTTAAAAGTTTTTATTTGTGAGCATATAACTCAGCTTCAATGGATGTTTTATATCCAAATTATGCCAAGCATACCTTCTAAATTCCTGAATTGAGTAAGTTATACTTACCATCAGCATTTAAGATTTAAAATTTTTCTCTAAAACTTGCATTTTAAAATTAAATTTGTAAAAAATCCTATTTTAGCAAGCTTTATTGTATCAATTGGTAAAACTTTATTTTCCAAGCAATAGGAACTGGGTCAAGTGATTATTATAATCCAGAGGAAGTATTTCATAACCACAGCAAATGTCGTTATACGTACTACCAATGCAGACTTAACAGACAATACTGAACTGTACAAGAGTTATTTATTTTTCCTTAATCTCAAAGCTATGTTTAGTAATACAAAAAAAGCCATATTAACATTTTTTTCCCATTAGAAAACAATGTGATGTACAAAACTTTGGATGAAAAGATATATGTCAAATCTCATTTAATCACTTGGTGGAAAACCCACCACTCCATCAATACCACCCAAAGTGTTTTTAGGCAATGATTAAAATAAAAATAATGCATCTTAATAAATTCCAGCTGTTAAAAGAGCAAACCTAGCAATATAGTTAACTACACAGTATTTTTGACTACTCAAGAGTTACTTTTTAAAATCCTTTTTCTGAATCCTACCACATACCAGGCACTGTACTTGGCCAAGCAGGTGTTTAAGAAAAGTTAGTAAGGTGGGAAAGACCTGATACAGCAGTCCTTTGGTCACCAGATTTGACTTTGAACTTTCAAACATCCTCCAAATAAAGAAACCCCAACTCAGGTACATTCTTCCAAACATTATGTGATCTTTTTAATGGGTAAGAAGTTTAATGAGGGGTCATGAACTATTATTTGATCCATTATTCCAATTAAAAGGCATTTCAAAAACTAATCTGTTATGAGTTTAAGATTTGGCATTCAGTTGTTATGTGGTTCACTGACTTATTGTGAACCCTACAAGGCACACTGCTCAAGATAGTAAAGCGGGTGTGCGTAAACAAATTTTCTTTGTATTTAAAAGTAATGGTAATTGATACATATCTTTATCTTAAAATCCAACTGAGTTTAGGGTAAAGAAATCCAGTTATAAGGTGGTAAAAGAAAGGAGGTAAACTAGTAAGGATTATTACTATATAAGTATTCTCTATCTTTTCCTTTGAGTAACAAGATGCTAATGCACTACTTTCATTAAAAGAACTGCTTACAATTATTGAATTGAAACAAGTACTAAAGGCCCATAAATTGACAGTGTTGTCCATTCATCACCATTACTTCTTTACATAAGACTGTTTTCCTAAGGTATAACACACAATCTAAGCAATAATTTGGAAATCAGCCAAGCATTAAGCAATTACAATGGTAGGTAATACAGCATCAATTTTTGAAACACATTTGGCCACTTTACATGACCCATCTGCAGTTTGAATTAAATGGACTCAGTCATTATCAATTTAAGTTTCTGGATCTGCATAACAAAAAGATTGTTTTATGAAATTTTCACAGACATTTAAATTGTCTTCGGTCCCATACTGTTGTATTAAATGACTTATTCTGACATGCTATATAACTACAATAAAAGTAAATGTTCAATTTTTAAATGAAAACTAAATGCAGATAAATGGTAACAGATTTGACATGGAATGTTATAAGATCTGCCTGTATGTAATCTGACACTGCTGATTATTAATTTCAGAGTTTAAAAACTTCAGATTAAAAACCACAAGATAATTTACTGTTTGATGACATGCAAGATCTTCCTCAAAATTATCCTAAGACCTAGAAATCTCAGTATTTTATCAGAACATAAAGAAACACAACCAATTTGTACATTTTATTCACATTTATTTTTCGCTTTTAGTGTGCTCACAGAAAATTAGAACACCTTAAGCAGGAGTTTAATAGCAATTTTTGTAAGCAAAGTTACATTCCATCTCTAAGTCAAATTGGTCAAAGCTTCTCCAGTATTTACAAAACATGATAGACAAGATGCTACACAAAACCATTGCATCTGAAGAATTTTTTTTTTTCTCCTTTATTCTCAAAGACGACTGGAAAAGAAAGCATTGTCTGCTGTAATCAAAAACATACCACAGTATAAACAGTAACCATTCCACTTATCACAGCTTTGTTGAGTTTAAAATTTGTGTTTAAAAGGTCCAAGATGACTGCAGTTTTACAAAAATGGGCAGGGTGGAAAGTTGCAAACTTCATGTGCTTCTGGATATCAAGATTTGTTTTTGTTTTTATACAATAGTCACAGTTAAAAACACCCTGCTGGTAATACATAATTACACTTTATTAAGGTCATAAACCAGCAATAAACAATAAGCCTATACAACTTGTAGTTCTACTTAATCACTGACGGGTACAGCTAACATGAGATAAGTGAAAAGTTCCTATGGTTTAAATGAACTCCTAGGGCTATAATCTTTTTTAAAAATCTGAGTATTGGTGTTTTCTCTTTCCTTAGTCAAGACTTGTAGTGTTGTAAACCTGCCTCACAAAATACATCCTAATAACTTTTCTTAAAAAAAAGAAAAAAGAAAGAAAGAAAAAAGCCTAAGCCTTTACACCATCCTTTGCGGTGGCACAGTATCTTGGCAACGCTATGCACCACTCCGCGTCCCCACGGGCCCTAGCACTTCATCGGATATCTATCCCTTTTTGACCCACCCATCTCCTTCATATATGGGCATGTCCATAGACTGACGAAGAAAGTTTACACTTTTGAATAAAGATGCAAAGTATGCAAAAGACATTAATACTGATGCAAAAAAATAAAAACAAAAGAGAAACAAGGCAGAGGAAGGTGTTTTAAGCTCTCCTCGACCTGTTGGAATGGTGGTCACAGAATGATCTGAGATGGGATCTGTGGGGAGGGGGAGAAACCCAAAATCGGCTGCTTAAAAAAAAAAAAAAAGGACAAAAAAAAAAAGAGACATCTTTTAAAATCAATCCCTGGTTGTAGACAAGTTCTCCAAAACCAGTACCTGGCACCACTCCAACAAACAAACGGGGGGGAGGGGGGGGTAAAAAAGTTCTTGGATTATCTCAGAAAATCTGGCCCTTTTACTCTGCCGCCTCCGCCGGGGGCGCCTCCGGACTGCACTCGGGCTGGGCCTCCTGGGAGGGCGCCGCGCAGGCCGACGAGGCCGAGCCGGCCGCCTCCTCCGCGGGGGCCGCCTCCGGCTCCGGGGACGCGCCGGTGCCCGCGGCGGAGGGCGCCTCGCAGGCCGCCGCGCTGGCCCCGGCCTCCTCCGCCTTCTCCTCGGCCCTGGCGGGCTCCTCCGCGGCCGGGGCCTCCTCGCTGGCGGCCGGCTTCTCGGGCGCCGCGGCGGCCTCCGCGGGCTTGGCCTCCGGCGCGTCGCCGCCCGCCGCCCCCTCCTCGCCCGCCGCGGCCTCCTCGCCCGGCGCCCCCGCGGACTCCCCTGGGGCCGCGCCCGCCTCTGCGCCGGCGGCGCCCCCCGCGGCCTCGTCCTTGCCGCCGTCGGCGGAGGCCCCGGCCGCGCCCTCGGCCTCAGCGCCCTCGCCCGCCTCCTTCTTGTTCTTCTTGAAGGAGAAGCCGCTCAGCTTGAAGGACTTCTTGAAGGAAAAGCGCTTCTTTTTTTTTTTCGGGGTCTCGTTGCTGGGCGAGGGCGTGGCCCCGTCCTCGGCTTTGGGCGAAGACGTCGAGGAGGCGGCCGACGCCGCTTCCCCCTCCGCGGCCGAGGGCGAGCCGGGCTCCGCGGCCTCTCCCTCGGCGGGGGCCTCCTTCTCCGCGGGGCTGGCCCCGGCGTCGGGGGCGGCGGCCGCGGGCTCCTCTTTCTCGGCCGCGGCGGGCGACGCCGCCCCGCTCCCCGAGGCCGCGGGCTCCTCCTTGTCGGCGGCCGGGGCGCTGCCGTTGGCCTGCAGCTCCTCCTTGGCGCCCGGCTCGGCGGCCGCGGGCGACGCGTCGCCGTTGACCTTCACGTGGCCGTTCTCCTGCGGAGCAGAAAAAGCGGGAGCGTCAGGGCCGCGGCCCGGGCGCCGCCGTGCCCGCCCCCACCCCCGCCCCGGCACCGGGAAGAGCCAGCTGCCCCCCGGGGCCCTCCGGCTGTGGGGCCGCATCTCTGCCCGGGGAGGCGGGAGCCGCGGCCCAGGCTAGACCGCCAGGGAGAAACGGGGGCAGTGCCATCCGCGGCGCGGGAAGGCGCAGCAGTCGCCGCGGCTGCCCCACCGACGCCCCGCGGATGCGAACGGGCGAGTCTGAAACGTGGGGGCGAAGGGCACCCACTCCAGCCCCGGCCTCGCGGGCTGGGATGGAAAGGAGCCCCGTAGCGCACGACACCCCGGACGCCCTTGGGAAGCAGGCGCCGGGCCAGAGGCGGTGGTCGGTCTGCGTCCGGATGACACGTCCCCCGTCTCCCCCACCCCCGAGGGCCCCGGGAAACACCTGGAACTCCCCGGGGGGACCCGCGCTCCAGCCAGCGCCCCCGCGCTGCGCGCGCCAAGACCCTGCGCCCGCGAGCGGGGCCGGGGCCGGCAGGGGGCGCTGCGCCTCCACCGCCCGGGGCTGGGCGCCGGCGGCGAGCCCGGAGGGGCGGGGCCGCCGGGCCACCGGGCCCTGCCGGCCGGCCGGGGCGCCCCCGAGCCCGGATCGCGCCGCGGAGAGTCCGCAAACAAAGCTCAGGTGGCTCGCCGCGATCCTGGTGGAAAGGAAACCCACAAGGCAGGGGGGTGGGGGGTGGGGGGAAACACGTTATTTCTAAAGTCTCGCCTCTGCTTCCACTCCCGCCTTCGCCCGGGATTCTGCGAAGCCGGGGCGCGGCTCGTTTTGCATTTTTAACGGGTTCAGAGCCTCTTGGCAGAGCCTGCCTTCCCCAGGAGGTTAGAGCAGGCGAAGCGACGCGGCCTCTGCTCTAGGAAAAGAGGCGTGGTGGGTGCCCAGTGTTTGCGAAGCGGCCACCCGTGGCCGACCTCTCGCGTCCACCCAACCGTGGCCATCCGCCGGGGTCTGGGCAGGAGCCACGCACACTGAAATCCCGACCGAAACACACCCACTGCCTTTGCTTTTCCTGACTACCTGGACACATTCTCCAAGCGCCCGCGGAGTCTTCCCATCCCAGGGGCACCGTTTAAAAATAAAATGGGGGTGTAACTCCAGAAGTAGGGAATCAGGATTGAGAACAGTGGGAAAGCCCCATCGAACGACAGCGAAACGCTCCGTGGAGCTCCGGCCGGGCAGCCAGCCGCCTTTCCAAGAACCCAGGGGCGCGCCGCCTCGGCGCACAATAAGATCGCCCTTCCCTCCTCGCCTTTCTCCACCGCCATCCCGTCGCGCGCCCCCACCCCCACGTTCCCAGCCCATACACACCATCACCCCAGCTCAGAAATCTGGGAGGTGATCCGACCTCGACAGCAAACGTGAGAGCCACCCAGACACCTTTGTGTCGACCAAACACAAATGCAACCTGGCCGGGGGCGACGGGGGGTTAGCATCTAGCTGGTCACGTTCTGCCAAGCTCCAAACACGCCATTTTAGACGATTTTTATCACTTCTTTCCTCCCGTCTACACAAGAATTCGCCAGGATTCTCCGGGAACCGCTCCTTTGGGGCCGGGGGGAGACCGCACCGGTGAGAAGGGGACAATTTAGGCTATCGCTTTCCATTCAACTTTCAGACTGGAACCTAGCCACGCTCCCCTCCGCCGAATGCGCCTCGGGAGCGACCAGGAGGAAAGGGGCAGCGTCGGGACTAGAGAAAGACATCAAAGAAACAACCGGTATCACAGGTAGAATTTACCTGCCCATTGGCTTTGGAAGGCGACGAGGCCACAGCCGCCTCCCCGGGCCTCTCCGCGGCGGCTTCTCCCTTCGCAGCGGTCTTGGAGAACTGGGCACCCATGCTGGCTTCTTCAACAAAGAAACTCAACAGATCCAAGGGGAACAAAGAGCCTCGAGTTGGTGTAACGACGGGGCGAGCAGCAGTAGCGGCGGCAGCAGCGGCGGCGGCGGCAGCAGCTCACACACCGGAGGGAGGGGGGAGTGGGGGTGGTGAAGAGGACAGAACAGAGCCGAATAAATACACTCCGGATAAAAAAATTTTAGTCGAAGAGATCAAAAAGCAGCAGCGCAGGAGGGAGGGGAAAGGGTGGAAAAGTCGAGCACAAAAAAAGGAGCCCAAGTGTAGTTTTTTAAAAAAAAAATAAGTAATAAAAAATCCCAGATTTGTAGCCGCACTGTAGACAAGAGGAAAATGGAGAAATCTCCCTGGTTGCTAATAAGATGCGGGGTCCAACGCCCAAGTGCACAGATGAATGGGCTCACGGGCGCTGACGCGGCCCCTGCGCGCGCCGGCCAATCCGCGCGCAGCACACAAAGCAGGGGGCGGGGCCTGCGCGCCGGGCGAACAATGGAGCCGCGCTTTGCAAACGATTTGAATATCAGTTTTGGACCGAGAATTAATGTCCTTCCAATAAACAAATCAGTTAAAAATACATGGTTCTCGCCTACCTCTGCTGAAAATAATAATGCACCACTCGACTGGCTTGCTTTGTTTGTAATTAATCAACGCGGGAGGGGGGTACTTGTGGATGGGGGCGGAGAAAGCGTTAACTTGACTCGCTTTGACTCTCGTCGGTCTATATCCGCGTCTGTCTCCCTCCACTCGGTTCCCTCCCCCATCTTACCCGAGTGTGTGTGTGTGTGTGTGTGTGTGTGTGTGTGTGTACGCGCGCGCGCACGCGTGTGTGTGTTAAAGACAATGGTTGGGATTTGTGTGCTGCATGTTTTCTTTCTCCGTGGTCCATATTGGTTTCACAGATACTGCACAAGGTTTGTTTTTTTAACGGCTGCAAATGTTAAATCGCCCCAAATTGAAAGGTATTTAAACTACGAAGATCGAGTTTCATCAAACGAGATCGCGAGTTAGAATTAGGTCTGTAGGCCAGATGTGGAAAATGCAAAAGCGGCAAGCAGCCGAAGCCACACTCCTTCCCTATCCCACATTGGCATGAAATAAAATATTTCGAGATTGGCCTGCGGCGCTCATCAAGTACCCCCTCTCTGACAATTACCAATTAGTGACCCCCCTACACGGTGTGTGTGTGTGTGTGTGTGTGTGTGTGTATATATATATATATATATATATATATATATATATAGATATAGAGAGAGAGAGAGAGAGAGAGAGAGAGAGAGAGAGAACCATTTACAAAAGATCAAAAACGGTTCGCCTTTTGTCACTATATGGAACGACAGTTTTCCTTTATGGCGAAAGGAGCCAGTCTCGAGCGCACGAATCCATATTTACTGTTGGGATGCAATTCGTGTCGATATGAATCGCTTTCAGCCCACTGCCAGGATCTGATGGACTCTATTTCTGAACGTGTGTGAATGTGCATGCAAGCGAGTGTACTCCAGGCAGGGAGGGAGGCAGGAGCGATGAAATTCTAAACAACCGGATTGACGATTACAGTTCTAGGGAGAAACTGTATGTTGAGAGACAGCAAGAAGACCCCTGAACGTTCCAAGTGTAACCTGGGTTGGAGAACAAGCTTCTATAAGGGGACACAGGGTCCTTCCATCTGCACCCCTTGCCACCGAAGTGCCAGACGCTATCTGTGTGTGAAAAGCTAGACACTGATTTAAAGAATGGGGTGGGGGTGGGGCAAAAATCAAGGCGATAGCCTAATTAATAAGTATTCTCCTACCACTGAAATGTTTGCTCCCAAAGTTTCACTCGTGTCGGAACCAAGACCACCTTTTCTCGTTTACATTTAGTGACCCTGAAACGGATAATTTTTCACTTATGGAGTTGAGAAGCAGTCGAGGTTCATTTCTCCTGATGCTTGCTGGCTCTGAATTCTTAGTTTTAGTTCCTGCTCATTGCAGGCAAATGGGTCACGCTTTGAGTGAAAAAGATGGATGGTTACAGCCAACAACTCTTTGTCCAAGTATTGCTTTGAAAATCAGCAAACTGCATAGTTACGTGAAGCTTCCTCTTCTCATTGTCCACTTCCTTCAGAAGCATCATTCAATCACGAAGTCAAAATCCCCAGAGCTGTTGGAAAGACGTGCCCCTAGACGTGTATGTTGCCAAATGTGTAAGCACCTGATCCAAGACCCCAGCCGCCGCGATGGATCCGAATCCCCCGTATTAGCGGAGTTCCAACTTGAAAAGCAAACTGGGATGATCCAAAACCACCTTCCAGGCGGTTCTCAAAAGCTCCTTTAGGCTGTTGGTCCCCCTCCCCCCCGCCCCCAACATACATCACTCCCTCTTCTTCTGCACCCTTCTCCCCGTTTTAGCTTTGGGTGATTGCTAGCTCGCTTTCGGATTTTCTCGCAGACACGTCCTCAGCCCTCCGTTTGGGGGCCACTTTTATTGCTCCTTTGTTACTAGGCTGCGGTGTCGCTTTCCCCCCTTTCCTTCTCGAATGCCTATTTGCCTGGTATCGGCTTGTCTCCTTGGCAACGGCCGGGGATGATTTGGAGCCCCGAGCGGGGGGAAGGGGAAGGGGCGGAGCGGGAGGGAAGCAGGGAGGAGTTGGAGGGAAAAGAGATGCTGAGAGGGAGACTGGGGGACAGACAGCAAAACAGATGGCTGCGCGAGGGGGCGGGTCCAGCCCGGGAGTGGGGTGGACCCCAGGCGTCGTGGGCGCGGGAGAACCAATCAATTCCCACGGCAGCTTCGGGGCTAGAAAACAAATGTAAACCCCAGATTCACTCCCAGGAGCGGTCCCTAGGAGAAGGTAGAAAAGGTGGCTTCCGTTCCACACGAGAGCGCATTTCTAGCAGAGGTTGCCAAGCGTCCCAGGCCCAGTCACTGTCGTGGGGGAGGCGCTGCTCACGGAGCCAACCTCTCCCAGCCTCTTACAGCGTCGGACCAAGGAAAGAAAAGCCACGAATGTGGGAGAGGGTGAAGGCGGAGGTTGGGTGAGGAAGGAAGGGGCTGGGAGAAGGAAAGAGGTCCTTCTACCCTGGAAGCTACATAATGGCAGGGAAGGACCGCCAACCAGACTGGAACCGGTGGGAAGTTGTACAATGTGAATATGTAGTTCCTCGGGAGTTGGGTGTTCTCAGACTCAGAGCTAAAGGTTTCCAATAAAGTGCTAATTAGAGAAATACGATTATTTATATAAAAATATTAACAAACCCAAGAGGTGATAGTGAAAATGTAAAGCTGTAACCGACTCACCAGGGAGAAACAGGCAGGCAGCCAGTCTTGATTTGTACCTTGCACTGGGGTGTTTAAGATGATGATAATCTGTATATGGCTTATTCTAGAAAAAGAACCATTTACTTAGGATACCTCAACGTTATATTTTTCTTTAAAATGTTAGCACTGGAAGGAATTTTTAAGAATTTGCCACAAATTCTTGAGGGCCTATCGTTTGCCAGACATACTGTTCTAGGCCTAGTTTTCACACCAGTGGAATAGACAGATGCAGTTTCTGGCCGCATGGAGCTTACATTTTGTGCAATGAGAGCGAAGTGGATCATCTGGTTTCATCCTCTCACTTACCAGATGAAGAACGAGGCCCAGGGAAGTTGTCAGGTTCTGTCAGACTATAGAACCAGGAATGCAGCTCACCGCCTTGATGAGCCCAAGTCCTCAGCTTTCCCCACTAATGCACAGCACTGCCTCGCTTCCCATTGATGTCCTGGGCCATCACTTCACTTGGTAGGTTGGTCGTTTATTCCTAAATTATTCAGTTCCAGCTAAATACCAAAAGGGCGGCTAGACATCAGCTGACACCAGGGAAGAACCTGGACATGGTGTTCCCTCTCATGCTGCTTCCACTTTGTATTAGCTTTTAAAACTTATCAGAATGTGAAGAAAGAGACCAAAGATATTAACTGTGTGCTTTAACAAAACAAACAAAAATATTTTAAAAGATGAGTGTCACTTTCTAGATTCTGAATTAAATAGGCTTTTTCGTCTGAAAGCTTTCATTCAGCAGCATTCATTCATAAACAAATACAAGATCCCAAGGTGCTAATGGTGCTGTGCTCCATTTTTTTCATTTTAGATTTTATTATATATATATATATATATATATATATATATATATATATATATATTGATTTCAGAGAGGAAGGGAGAGAGGGATAGAAACATCAATGATGAAAGAATCATTGAGTGGCTGCCTCCTGCACGACCCCCACTGGAGATCAAGCCTGCAACTCTGGCATGTGTCCTGACCAGAATCAAACCTGGGACCCTTCAGTCTGCAGGCCAACACTCTATCCACTAAATCAAACTGGCTAGGGTTCATCTTTGATGTTATATTACCTGAACTTTAGTTCCAAAAAAAAATGGATTCATTTGGAATATAGTGTGGAGCAAAGCAGACACAGCCCCTCATTCATTCAACAGGTAGTTATCGAATTCCTATCATGTGCTAGGCATGGGAACACATCAAGGGGCAAGAAATCTTGATAGAGCTTACATTCTAGTGTGGGGAGAAAAACAAAATTAATACATATCAGTAAGCAAATTGTATAGATTATTAGAGGTCCGTAAGTAGTATTGTGAGCAAGGTGGGAAACCAGAGCAAAGGAATAAAGATGGGACTATAGGATTGAAATTCTAGATAGGACCAAGAAAGGCCCCAGTCAGAAGATAAACTTTTAGCAGATTTGAAGAGGTGAGGAAGTTGATAATGGTGCTTCTAACCTAATAAGAGTGAGAGAGAAGTCAGAAGTGAACAAAAAGCTCACAAATAGATATATAATTGTAAATGGTCCTGTCTTATGGGCTCTGAAGAAAAATACAGGGTGTTTATAAATAGCCTATTTGAGAGGGTTAAAGAAGGCCTGTTGAAGGGAGTGACATGTAAGTGGAAACCTACTGGAAGAGTAGGCATTAGATAAAGAGGTAGAGAGTTGTGTTCAAATGGAGGAAATAGTGATGCCCTGAGTAGGTAATAGTTCAAATGGGTTTGGAATGAAGGTCAAGAGATTAGTTTGGACAGGTTTTGAGATACCTGTAACACATCCTGAAAAAGTGAAATGGCAGAGTCTGGAGCTCAAAGACTGGTTTGGAAAGTAAATACAGAGTTGTGATCATTCCATATGTAAACATTTTCTGAATCCAAGTCATAAAATATGTAAAGCACAAGAGACTGGTGAATCCCACCCTGAGTACCTTCTGCTTTAAGACACGGGGTAGATACTTGTCAATTTTACCTCAATAAAGCTAAAAAACAAAAAAAACAAAAACAACACACAGCATAACATAATAAAATAAAGCCAGGTTTGGAAAGTAGCATTCAACTAGTGTTTTACCCATTGTCCACTGAGGGTTATCTGACTTTAGGAATCTAATAAGATTTCTAATGGCTCTAAGAGCATAGTGGGATCTCATTATTTTGTATACAGTAGGAGGTTTTTTAATGAATATAATGTACTAAAACTTAAAATTAAATTAGACTTTGCTTTAGTGTTCTTTACTAACTATCCACTAGTACTCAGATAAAAAATATTCTTTCATAATTAGGAAACATCAGAGTCACTGATTATCTAACCTGAAGAGACAAAGATAACACATCTACAATAGGAATGAAGTTTCTGGACTCTTAGATCCCCTTAAAATCCGTAGGTGATTACTACAAAACCACTATAATCATGAGTATGTGTTTAGTCACTGCTCTTTTTTTAAAAAAAATTTATTTGAAAAGATCACTGAAGGGCAGGATACATTCTAGATTAGAGAAAGGTAAACAAAAAGTAGCGGGCGGGGGGGGGGGGGGCAGAGGGGGGTGGAGAGAGAAATAAGATTTTAAAGAAAAACTTTTCTCCAGGAATTCTAAATCAAGGCTTATCCACAGTTGCATTTCCTGGATTGCAAATTTTACTCCCCAGGGACAGGATGAAAACTTTCCATATCAGCTTTTGAAAGACCTGAGTTGAAAGAAGAAGGTTATTCCCCTTCCATTTTTGTTTTTAGAAGTAGCAGGTAACTAAATAAAAATAAGCAATCAAAGTTTACTTTTAAAGCAGCGATTCTCAACCTGTGGGTCACGACCCCTTTGGCGGTCGAACGACCCTTTCACAGGGGTCGCCTAAGACCATCCTACATATCAGATATTTACATTATGATTCATAACAGTAGCAACATTACAGTTATGAAGTAGCAACGAAAATAATTTTATGGTTGGGTCACAACATGAGGAACTGTATTTAAAGGGCCAGAAGGTTGAGAACCACTGTAAAGGTCAGATTCCTTATCTAATAAAGTTACTTGACTAATTGGCCAACTAGAAATGAGAGCAGAAATTTCACATGGAAAAAAAGCTGACTCTTCAGTGTGAGAACCATGCAAAGGGTAATTTTTCATTGTATTTTGAAGTCATAAATACTTCCAGATATTAAAAAAGTAGATTAAATCCCTGGCTAGAATGAGATCATTGAACTACTCTATAGCTCTAGAAATTGAAGTATGAAATTATATTTAACAGTTATCTTTATCCCAAATAATATAGTTTTTAAAAAGAATATGTAAAATCACTGCTGCAATCAGTAAACCGACAAGATTTTTATTAAGCTCCTGCTGAAGCAGACCTCAGTAAGGCCCTCTACAGTGTGAGGGACTTTTCAGCGCCTTCAGCACTCTGTTAGGCTTTCTGATGGGATGACATTCATTTGCTCAACAGGTTTTTATTAAACGCCTACTTTATACCAGGCTATTGTGCTTTGCTTTTGATACCTCACTGAATCCCCACTGTAACCGTATAAGGTAGAACCCCTTACTTTCATTGTCTTCACAAACCAAGTCCTCCAGCGGTTACATTACATGCTCAAGTTTTCGCTGCTCCTACAAGGTCTGGGCGGGGCCTTGAATCTTGTGGCTGTCTCCCTGGATACCATGCTGCCTTGGAGAGTAAGAATTTTATGGGATGTTCCCAGTTCTTGTTTAGGTTACAAAAGCGCCCAAAAGACACGAAAAATTAAGCAAAAGGTGTTAAACTTTATGCATTGTGAGATAAGTATTTAGGGCCACATCTATAAAATGGGAATTAGCATTCAAAGAAACATGCACGCACACATACACACACACACACACACATACACACACACACACACACACAGAACCTGACAGGTCAGATTCTTCTACCTGGGAACATCTTTAGTAACTTTATCCAGGATAGAAGTCATCACAAATTAGATTTTGATGTAATTGAATAAAACAATGGTTCAATTGCACCAAGAACTTATCTTCCCTGGGGCCAAGTGTGAGTGTTGCCTAGGGCAGAGTGAAGCCATTTGGAATGTAGGTAAAATAAAGTGTAGAACTTGGAGAGGGGTGGGGAAGTGACATTTGGGAAGGAAATCCAGATGAAGATGTGGCTGGAAGGTGAGATCACAGATGAGAAGGTCCACATCGTCACAGCACCACTATGAGAAGACTGTAAGGGTTCCAGGGAAGGAAGAGAATCACAATAGAGAATGTAGGGGCCCATGACAATGTGGCAGTCTTCCATGCAAGGTACAACTGGAATTTGACTTACATGTTGGTTGTAGGAGTAAATGCAGCAGTTTTGCACTTATTATTTCATTTAATGCCCACAGTAAATCCATACATCCTATGAAATGATCACTTTATCAAAACACCCATCAGTCAAATGCCAAGCTTCAAAGCCGTTTGAGGAACATTTTTCTTTGAAATGGGCTTCACAAGCCACATAAGAAACTTTGTCTTGATACATTATAATTGTACTTTGAGGATGATTTTTTAAAAAGATTCTCTCTTTTATTTATTTTAGAGAGGAAGGGAGAGGGAAGACAGAAACATCAATGATGAGAGAGAATCACTGATCGGTTGCTTTATGCACGCCCTCCACTGGGGATGTGCCCTGACTGGGAATCAAACCTATGACCTCCTGGTTCATAGGTCAACACCCAACCACTGAGCCACATCAGCTGGGCATGAGGATGATTTTTATTACTAAAATTGTATTACCTCTTTGATCATCCAATTTAATACCACTAACACCTTCTAGGTACATTAAACATTTCAGTATTCAATTCTCTTTCAAAATATAATCTTATTCTCTGTGTTTTGGGATGTTTTTAAAATTAATATTGTCATTAGAGAATTTACTACTCTTGGGGTAAAGCAGCTATGGTGTTGGGTGACTACAGTATTTGAGGACATGGGTTCAATTTCCAGTTAAAATACTTGGTAGCTGATGTAACCTTACAGAGTTGACGGGTTCTCTGAGCCCAAGTTACCTCCTTTGTAAGATGTGGCTAAATATTTATATCTTTTTTTTCTTCTTTTTTTGGTACTTGGGTTCTGTCTAGGAAAGAATTTACAGTCAAGATCCAAACTGTAAGAAAACATTTATTTGGTAAATTACAGAGGTAAAAGAAGCAATTTCTAGAAGAAATGGGCATAGGAAACAAGTTATGGAGATAAAGGAAGGTCCCTTGGAGCTTGGGAGTGAGGAAGCTAAGGGTAACATTCCTGAGGCCCAGGAGGGAGAGCGCCCAAAATTTATATCTTAAAGTGTTGTTAAGCAATGTATTGTTGTTTTTGTTGGAAGGCGTGCTTTCTAAGAAGCTTTTTGTTAGAATTTGAATGAAAATTGGCAGGAGATATAATGAATGTTCTGAGATGATACCTGCAATAGCCCAGACCCAGAACTTAGTACTTAGTTTATCAATAAATGCTAGGTTTCCTTTTCATCTTGGAGCAAGGGGGTCTGGTGAAAATCTCTGAATAGACTTGGAAGTAAAAAGTGATAAGCAAAATGTATATCGGCAGAGCTGTTATTAAGTACAGTCATGTGTCACTTAACAGGTATGTCTTCTGAGAAATGTGCTGTTAGGTGATTTTATCATTGTGCAAACATCATAGAGTATACCTACACAAACCTAGATAGTATAGCCTACTACACACCTAAGCTATATAGTATTAGCCTCTTTTTTAAAAAAATTAATCTTTATTGTTGAGATTATTACAGTTGTCCCTCTTTTTTCCTCCCATAGCTCCCCTCCACCCAGTTCCCACCCACCCCAGAACCTTGCCACCCTATTGTGTGTCCATAGGTAATGCATACATGCATATAAAATCTTTGTCTAATCTCTTCCCGCACCCCCCACAACCCCTTCCCTCTGAGAATTGTCAGTTTGTTCTATTTCCATGCCCCTCATTCTATTCCATTCACTAGTTTATTCTGTTCATCAGATTTTTTATTCATTTGATTTTTAGAGTCACTTGTTGATAGATATGTATTTGTTGTCACTTTGTTGTTCATAATTTTTTATCTTTACCTTTTTCTTCTTCTTCTTAAAGAATACCCTTCAGCATTTCATATAATATTGGTTTGGTGGTGATGAACTCCTTTAGCTTTTTCTTTTCTGTGAAGTTCTTTATCTGACCTTCAATTCTAAATGATAGCTTTGCTGTGTAGAGTAATCTTGGTTGTAGGTTCTTGCTATTCATCACATTGAATACTTCTTGCCACTCCCTTTTGGCTTGCGTAGTTTCTGTTGAGAAATCAGCTGACAGTCATATGGGTACTCCCTTGTAGGAAACTAACTGTTTTTCTCTTGTTGCTTTTAAGATTCTCTCTTGTCTTTTGACCTTGGCATTTTAATTATGATGTGTCTTGGTGTGGTCCTCTTTGGATTCCTCTTGTTTGCAGTTCTTTGGGCTTCCTGAACTTGTAAGTCTATTTCTTTCACCAGGTAGGGGAAGTTTTCTGTCATTATTTCTTCAAATAGGTTTATAATATCTTGCCCTCTCTCTCCTTCTGGCACCCCCATAATTCGGATGTTGGTATACTTGAAGTTGTCTCAGAGGCTCCTTACACTATCTTCATATTTTTAGATTCTTTTTTCTTTTTTCTCTTCTGGTTGGGTGTTTTTTGCTTCCTCGTATTTCAAATCATTGATTTGACTCTCGGGATCCTCTAATCTACTGTTGAATCCCTGTATATTATTCTTTATTTTAGTCAGTGTATGCTTAATTTCTGACTGGTCCTTTTCCTTTTTTTTTTTTTTTTTTTTTTTTTTTTTGGCATTCTCCCTAAGATCCTTGAAAGTCTCACTAAGTTCGTTGGAGGTTTCTAGAAGATTTTTGAGTTCAAAACCTGATAACCATGGTTTTGAACTCTATATCTAACTCTATATCTAGTAGTTGGCTTTCTTCCATTTCTTTCATTTGTGACATGTTTCTTTGTCTCTGCATTTTGGCTGCTTCCCTGTGTTTGTTTTCATGTATTGGGTAGCTGCTAAGTCTCCTTGAGTTGATAGAGTGGCCTTGTGTAGTAGGTGTCCTATAGGGTCCAGTGGCTCAGTCTCCCCAATTTCCTGAGATAGACACTCTTGGTGCACCCCTCTGTGGGCTGTGTGCACAGTCTTGTTGTAGTTGAGCCTTGATTGCTGTTGGGAGGAATTGACCTCCAGGCCAATTGGTTGTGGGGACCAGCTGGGACTACAGTGGGAGAGCTGCTGTGCAGGAGACACCCTTATGGGCAGGACTTGCTTCAGTGAGGCTTTGGTGCTCACTGAGTCTGCCCCTTGAGTGTGTCGCTTATGGATCTGAAGAACTGTAATCTGGTGTTGTCTCACACTGACCACTGGGCACACTGGCTCTTGGGTCTCCAGGAGGGTACAAAGTCAGTCACTGCCTGGGGCCACCCAGCAGGCGCTATAGAGAGATTCTTCCTCTTTGTATCAGGTTTGGAAGTGCCCAGATGAGGCCCAGCTATGAAGCAAGGCAGGCTGGTGCTGGTGCCAGTTTTGGGGCCTTTTATTGAAAGGTTTGGGGCTCCGTGACCTAGCTGCATCTTGTTTTGACAGATTTTTAGCCTGAGAAAGAACAGACCATTCATATGCCAAAGCTGCTGCGCACAGCTTGGGTGGGGTTATAAATTGGATGGGGCGGGGCCTCAGGGAATCACCAGCCGGAGCAAACAGAAATGGCTGCCAGTCAGCCCTACACAGGGGAGGTCCCAGCAAGGGAACAATGACCGCTGCGAGCACCTCTGTCTGGAAGAAAGCCATCCCTGAGGTCCTGCCCTGATGCCAGATAGTCCAGTTTCTCCCGTGTGTGTCTGGGTCCCCCAGAGCCTCACCCGGCCCTGGAGCTCAGAGGAAGTGGGAGCTTATACATTCAGTTCGTGGTGCCGGCCTTTTAAGAGGAGCAGCTGGGTCTCTAGCAGCCGTGAGTTTCTCAGCCCCAATCCGCACTGGTGTTTACTGCCCGTAGGGACTTCTTCCCCAGCTCTGGGGCCCTGGGCTGGGGGCCTGGTGTGGAGCTGGGATTCCTCGCTCCTCCAGGCGGCCTCCGCAGAGGCATCTCCCTCCCCATTAAAAGAGCGGCACACGGGGTGCCGGACCAGCCCGCTCGCGCCTCCGCACCTCCTGCCAGGCTCCGTGTGCTTTCTTCTTCACCTCTCTAGTTGCAGGACTTCCACTCAGCCCGCTTTCCGCGGTTCTGGCTGATAGCTGTTCTGTCTTTTAGTTGTAATTTTGATGTGGTGGTGGGAGGTGGCAGGTACAGGCGGTTACCTGAGGCGCCATCTTGGTTCTCTCCGACAGCAGCTTCTTGCTCCTGGGCTACCACCCTGTACAGCAAGCATGTCAAACTCACGGCCCACAACGAATATTTTTGCGGCCCAGCCAATATAACGGTATGAAGAAATGTTTTAATAAAAATGTCCTAACTTAATTTTTACAATATCCTGTTATACATAATTATTAATAACAAACTACAACGTTCGCTAATGACTGATTACTATAATCGTGTTGCATTCATTTCCCTTATGCGCAGGCGCACCATTTCTCTCCACTAATACCAGCCTCGAATATTTTAGCAGCCGATTGCCGCGTCATTAATCTTGGACTGACTTGTTTGGTGTGAGCAACAGGAAATATTTCTCTTTCAGAGAACAAGAAAAATAGGTTCATTTGCATTATGCTTATTAATTTGTGCAGTTATTCAGTGTCTGGTAAGTTAATGTTCAATAAAAAAATATTAATTTTTATTAAAATGTTCTATTATTTTATGTTAACAATTACTCATTTATGTCAGCCCTTTGTATTCCGCATGTCTCTATTGAAATCAAGTGGTAGTAAATAGAAACAAAAAATTGCTGACGAACATCGAAATTTCCAAGAAAAGTGGGAATTGGAGTATTTTTGCTGTGAAGTAAAAAATAAAATAACCTGCTTGATATTTAATAATGCTATTAGTGTACCAAAGTTATACATTGAAAATTGAAGCTTTTGTTTTTTTTTGCAGCCCACATAAACTTAAACTTCGTTTATTTGGCCCGTGTTAGCCTTTGAGTTTGACATGCCTGCTGTACAGCATGTCACTGCACTGAGTACTGTAGGCAATTGTAACACAATGGTATTTGTGTATCTAAACAGATCTAAACAACACGAGATTAAATCATGTACGAGAGAGTGATGCAATCAAGAGACGTGGTAAATGAGCTATACGAGGCTGCTGCTGGTGTAACACAACTACTGTTTTACAGCAAACATTTTTTTATAAGTAGGAATAATACGCTCTAAAATAATGATAAAAGTATTCTGTGGTATAGTAAATACCATGTGGTCATTTATTATGATTATCAAGTATTATGCACTGTATATAATAATTGTATGCGCTATACTTTTAGACAACTGGCTACAGAGTAGGTTTGTTTACACCATCATCGCCACAAAAACAGAATTCATTGGGCTGCGATGTCAATAGAAGGCTACGCTGTCACTAGGCCATAGGAATTTTTCAGCTCCACTGTAATCTTATGGAACCACCACTGTATGTGCAGTCTGTCATTGCCAGAAATGTCGCTATGCATTGCATGACTACACTCGCTTGTAAAGTAAGCATTTTCAGCGGACCCATTTCTTGACTTCTTTGAGCAGAATTCCCGAAGAACTCTGAGGGGAGCTGCGGAAGGACTACAGAAGGCCCTACCTGTAGCAGGCGATTCCATGTGAGTTGTTGTATTTTCCTCTCAGCAAGCTGCTTTCATGAGGGAAGTGGGGTTATCTTTCTTTATTAATGTCAATTTTAAATAACATTTAGATTTTCACATGATTAGGCAAATGCTACCAGTATAACCCCACATTTTAATTTCCTTATAACTATTTTTTTTAAATCTATGTTTTTTCCAAATATCTTACAAGCCAGAGCTGTTTAATGTAAGTAGGCAATTTGCCCTCCTCCCTTGAACAGCTCTTCATCTGAGGCTTAGCTGGGAGATGTCAAAATAACCAGCAATTTAAAAAAATTTGCATTAGATTTTTTAAAATCCTACTGTTCTCATAGAAAATCCACACAGTGTAATGAGCTTTTTAGGGATTCTCTCTCACTCCCACCCCAGCCGTGTGCTAATTAAAAATCTTGTTAGAACCAATATATTTTCCTCTAATTTTGAAAAAAAATTAAAAAATTTATAGCAATTATAATCCCACAATGATTATTATTGTCATCATGTTACAAAATGTGAAACACTAGAACAGCAGGAGGCAGGGCTCTGTCTGGTGCAGCAGTTAGAGTTCTGGAATCGAATAAACAGTTTTGGGTCCAGGCTCTGTGAGGTAAGGATTAGAATCATTTCAGTGACGGGATAGATAGCAAAGCCTGAAGAGATGATTTTACCTACATCACACTGCAACTAAGCAGTCTGGTAACTGCGTGTCCAAGTGTCCTTTCCCTGCAGAAAAGAACTCTATAACTTCACAGACATCAAATTCAAATTGTGTTCTCACTATGCAGAGAGTGATTCAGGGTATGTCTAGGCCAGAGCCTGGCTGCACTGGCTGCTAGCCCCCGGGAGCCATTGCATCCCCTCTAGGAAAAAATCACAGAACTTTAGATCAAGCCTATGTCGAAGGACACCTTTAAAAGTTGGCTTTGTGCGTATTTAGAAAGGACCCAGAAAGATACTCTTACAAAATTTTTCAGTACTTCTGTATTCACCTAACCTTTATAAAAACTAGTTATTTTCCTTATTTTATGGAAAAAAAGGAAAAGAAATTAATGTGAAACAAAAAGAAAGCTCTAAACTTTGAGACTTTATAACAGCACCAGTTTATTACATGGCCACATAGTTCTGCATAAAGTGGGAGCTATGTTAATAAAAATACTACACATTGCTAACTCCTATTTCTTCCATAACATTTTTAATGAAAAAGCTATACATGCTTATTTCAATTTTTAAAAACGGGACAGGAGAATATAAATTCATTGAAATAAAATTCTCTTGAGCTATTTCTTCTTTTAGAAATTCCTGTATCCTCTGTGAGCAGGTTGTGATGTATCTTTCTGAACTTTTCATCTATTCATTTGTCTGCTCACATACAGATAGGTATGTGAGATTTACAGATGGAATGGTTGTGGATCACTGTCAACACATGACATGATAGCAGTTTAAGCAATTATTGGTACACCATGAGTCCATCATCAAGTACACTGACACCAGGATAAATCTGCAAATTCCAAAAAATAAGTACAATACTAGAGTTATCTTATCAAAACTTAAACTGAGGGCAGTAAATTAATAGATTCTGACTTAGTGACACATTCTAACAACAGTTTCTACAGGTGGCTATTCAGGAGGAAGCCCAGTGCATTGTGTCCCTTGATTATGCAAAGGACTCCAGCCATTTTCTTAAAAGGAAGTAGGAATGTGTGCTAATTCCATATCACAAAGAGAAGAACTAAAAGGTTAAACTACCTCTGTAGCATGTTTCCCTATTTGTAAGCACAGTGCCATATGTAAAATGCCACTTGTGCCTGTTAGGTTGGATCAAATGAAAATGTTTATCATCATTACGCGTAAGCTTTAATATCTCTACTATTTGTTCATTGTTCTCATTGCTGTTCACACAAAACCCCCAAGTTCAACCAGGCTAGCCTCCCCATCTTCCCTTTCCCCAGGCAGCCACATCTGCACTGAGCACATCTGGCATCTAGTGCCCCGACAGGACCTGGAAGTGTCTGTCTCAGGACACCAGTGTCCCAGCTTTTCACTGAGGAATTGATGCTTCTTTGGCTGACCCCATATCTTCTCTATTAAAGAACATTTGGAAGCGGGCTTTACAGTGTGTAACTTGCCTGCTTGGCAATTTTGTTTCTTTCTTAGCCAAGAAGAAACAAGCGGCTCATCAAACTAAATTTGAACCTTCAGCTCCACTTGAAAAATCATGGTGGTTGGTGTCAGAATCAGCAAAGTCTTTGAAGTTCTCTGGCATGAGAGGCAAATTATAATTAGGTTCTTAACTGAAATGTGAGTTTCCTTTTGACTTGTTTGGTATCCTGGGCATAGAGCTCCACAACCAGCATCATGGGTATTTTGTATTAACATTACAAAATGTTATACATTAGTTTTCATCTTTCTCTCACTAGGTATGGTTCATCTTTTATTTGAAAAATGAGCCCCTCCCCCCCCCCAATACAAAAATAGTCTTGAGTCATATAAATTCAAGTTGGACAAAAATTAAGTGATTATCAGGGAGAAAAAGCATTTTATTACCCTCATATTGTGTTTTTATATCCAGTAGAACACCAGCAATGGAGATCTTGTGATCAAATATGATAGAAGTTCACTAAAAACCTAAATCTTCTTTAATTATCATCAGTTCATTGAAATGGATATTCAATTAATCATCATGTATTTATTGAGTGCCTCTGCATTGAAAGGTTGTAAAGTACTGCTGCTGGACTCTATGTGATGGCTATAGTGCTTCCAGAAACCTGGAAGGGAGTGACATTCTTATTGCATTAGATGCGGGTGGAGTTGTAGTGGATCACTCCTTAATGAGAGTCAGCCAACCGCCTCCCCACATCTCAGCCCCACTCCTGCCCTTGGCCATTGGCCTCACATACTAAGACACTGATTTCCTGTTACACTCACAGAAAAATAGAATGATGAGGTGCTCATGAACTTTTAAGTTGAAAAATTCATCACCATATTGAAATTCATGCAGTGCAACATAGTGAGTGATCGATGACTACAATAAGTGATTAGTGTTCTTTACTTCTGTGAGGTTACGAAAAGCTGTAAGTTAAACAAGAGCATGTGTGGAAAGAAATGTCCTTTCCTGTAATTGTCTTGCGGTCTTTTGATACCTTTCTGCCCTTTACTAGGCCCTGGTTGAGTTGGCCCAGGCTAACTTATCCATGTGAATTTTCTTCCCGGGTACAATCCTCTATACAAAGATAAGCAACATTTTCATGGAAAGGGCCAGATAGTTTAGATTTTGTGAATGTATTAGATTCTGAGGCTGACATAATAAAATACCACAAAACAATTTCTTTCTGTTGGTGGTTTAAAACAACAGAAATTTATTCTCTCGCCATTTTGGAGGCTCTGAGGGAGAAATTGTTTCATGCCTCTTTCAAGCCTGGTGGTTGCTGGTAATTCTTGCTGTGCCTTGGCCAGTAGATACTTCACTCTAATTTCAGCCTTTGTCTCCACATGAATTCCTTCCTTTTGTGTATCCATGTGATCTCTCCTTTTCGTACAAGGACACCAGCCATTGAATTTAGGGCCTACCTTAATTTAGTATAACATTATCTTAACTTCACCTACCAAGATCCTAGTTCCAAACAAGGTCACATTCTGAGGTTCTGGGTGGATGTGAATTTTGGGAAGATACTACTCAACACACTACAGAGGACCATATGGCCACTCTGTTGCAATTAAACTCTGTTGTAGCGCCAAAGCAGCCACAGACATTACATAAATGAGCGAGTGGGCTGTGTTCCAATAAAATTTTATTTATGGACACTGGCATTTGAATTATATATAATTTTACATGTCATGAATTACTGTTCTTCTTTTGATTTTTATTCAACAGTTTAAAAGAC